TTAACCCTTATTGGTTATTTAATGTCAAACTCTAAATATTTTGTACGCAGTTGTATACCTTAAATTTCATGGAAAAATGTTTTATAGATGTATATTTTGTAGATGATCTTGTGTAGTGTTATATGATTTAGTATAAACCTATTTCTTTACGGTAGGACATTGTGTTGACGATTTCAGTATTTTCAAATAGATTTCTCATATTGTTTCTCTTGTAGTATTTGTCTCACAGAGGCGCAGTTAGTACATACAGATGTGTTTCACTATAAGTGCAGCTTGGTATGTTGTACATGTTGTTTGATATTCATTCTTCAATGAAGTGAGGTATGTGTGACCTGTGTTTAGTTGAGCTAGCATTGCTTCATCTTTGCTTCTTTCTCTAGACATTTGTTTCCATTCACTTAGGATTAGATAAATTGTGAGATTATTATTTGTTTTCTTGGTCCAGCGCTTTTTAAACAATAGTATTCCACTCTTGCTACATGGTTTGTCCATAAACGTCAGCTTTACGTAGCGCGAAGCCATAGTTCATGGAACTGATCAATGTTGTGGACATCGCCGTTTTTAATAAATTCTCTTATTTGGTACGATGCTGAAGAAACGCTGATAAAATCTTCTCATGGGGCGTAAATGGCAATTGTAGATAACCAAATATTGAGCCCTCATTGCAAGGGCAGTCCTCCAATACTCAAGATGTTAGAAACTTCTCGACGGATCTCTCCTCTGTTATAGCTTTAACAGGGAAAACTGGCTTGTAACTTTCAATGACTTTAAAACCAAGCTGCTATCGTTTAACCAAATACTTTTCAATTGTAGTTGTGATAGTGTTAGTGGGTAGAATAACATATTTTGATTCATTGGGTTTGTCAGACAGACACAGAATAGTTTACTCCTTTATTTTGAAATATTTTACGAGACTTCTGTATGGCGTTGTGTATGAAATAAATATCAATATTTGCGAGTTACCAAAGTATTGCTAAATAGAGTGAGTTAAACATTGCGGCGCAACGTCGTCTTTCATAATGAATTTTTTCCACTATTAACAAGTCTCAATGCTTTGAACGTCTATAAATGACTTACTCTCTCCAGACGCCAATGGAACTCAAACATACGAGAGTAAGTCAAAAATTATCCGCACTTTCGTCATAACGTATCATTAGGTTTGCCGCACTTTTATCGGCTTATAGCTGGTCCTATTATGGTCACGTGATCGACGTTTGAGATTGATCTCGCCAATTGTCTCATTGCTGTTACAGTGTAAACATGACCGCACCGTTAGCTGTGCTCACGAAGGAACATACTCATGTGTGGATGTTTCCCAGTACACTGCAATCATTACCTCTGCAACTCAAGGATATATATATATATATATATATATATATATATATATATATATATATATATATATCCTCCTTATACTTGTGAATTTCCCTTCGTTCTACCTCGTCTTAAATTTATATTACGCAACTCATTCGGTAACCCTTCACCATGAGTGATTCTTTAGTGTCTTTCATTAGGCTTTTACCGCGGCGGACATGCATTTGGATGTTTATCCATGGTGTTGTTATTCTTTTCCAATCTGTTAGTAAAATTAATGAAAGTGAGAAGAAATTTCATGTGATGCATTTCGTCATTTAGGACTTCATCTAACTAAAGTCATGTTTACGTTTATGCAACTACTCATATGCATGAAAGTTCCACTGAAATCTGAAACATTTTTTTTTTAAATATATGTTTAGATATATAGTCTAGCCAATTTTAGTTAGTTTCTTCTTCTTTTTGTATATATTTTTATCACTTTTGTTAAAGAAAATTGCGCATTGTTATAATAGAAGATATGCCCAGAAATAAGAATTCCTTAAGTACGTGACCCATATTTACTTTGGATGATCTAGAAATATACTTAGTAAATTGCTTTCTCTTTTGATTAAAGTAGAATTTTTTAAATCGAAATTATGTTCACACTCATTACGCCGAGCACCTAATGTACTGAGTGGGTTGTTTTGTAAATGATCATTTTGGGTCAAGTAAGCATTTATTTAAATTACCCGAGGTATCTCATCTGCATTCTTTGTCGACATTGATAGGTGATAAAGTAAATTCCTTTTCATTTTAGCTTATTATTACTTTTTTTGGATCAACTAATTATTTTATTGTTTTAGATGCAGTTGTAACAAATTTTATGTTGAACTTAAATAAATACTTTTCAATTGTAGTTTTGATAGAGTTAGTGGCTAGACATATATATATACATAAATATATTTTGATTCGTTGGGTTTTTCAGAATCGTTTTCTCTTTTATTTTGAAATATTTTACGACACTTCCATATCGCGTTAAGAATGAAATAAATATCAATATTTGTGAGTTACAAATTCTGACTGTTGCTAAATAGAGTGCGTTAAATATTGCGGATTTTATATCTGTTTATATTTCTGAGATGAGGTAATATAATTTATATTATTTACATTAAATAACCCTGCTGTCCATTTTTTTTATTGTCATGTTCATTACGTTTCGGCCGTTTTATACTCGGGCCTTCTTCAGGTGAGTGGAATTTCGAACTGTACCCTTTATTTCGTCCACCGGAGTAGATCGTTCTAGTTCCGTGTGCCGTGCCTCTTCCGGGTGTATCTGTTATCGCCCTTTAACTCAACTCTCCAAGTTTTTTTGTTCATCACTGCCGTAGCCAGGTATTGAACTCAAAAATTGGTCTCAAGTCACGGGATCCAACCAACGTTTTATCCCGGATTTTACGTTGTTGTTATGCGGAAAATGCATTAATTTTATTAAAGCATGTTCTTATATTTTATTCATTTTTTTGTTTTTCTTTACATGTCTAAATGAAAAAGGTTCCCGTACGATCACCAAAGTTAAGTAATGTCGAGCCTGATCAGTACCTAGATGAGTGTGGAAATATCAGGTGCTGTATGCTTCGATGTGTGGTTGACGTAGAGGATAATGGTCTGGAATTTTTAATCGGACATTAATCCAATTCCCCTTGGTTTCGGTATATAAAATTTGTATATTCATATTTATATGAAAAGGAGAAATACATTGAAGATAACACAAAAGATACATTGAAGACACATTGACACATTGAAGGTTTGTTATTCAACGCGAAACGAGATGCTCGTAAAACATTTCAAAGTAGAATTGTGCCCTATTCTGACAAACCCAATATTCTGAAAACCAACTCTATCCTCACTGCAATTGAAAAGTATTTATTTATGCTTAACATGAAATTTGTTAAAATTACTGATCATTCTGATAAAGACAACGAATCAAAATATGTTATTCTACCAGGAATTTCGAATATGCTGACTGAATTTCTACCTGGAATTTCGAATAAGCCGACTGAATTTCTAGCTGGAATTTCGAATATGGCGACTGAATTTCTACCAGGAATTTCGAATATGCCGACTGAATTTCTAGCTGGAATTTCGAATATGCCGACTGAATTTCAACCCGGAATTTCGAATATGCCGACTGAATTTCTACCTGGAATTTCGAATATGCCGACTGAATTTCTACCCAGATTTTCGAATATGCCGACTGAATTTCTGCGGAGGAGTATGACTATCTCACAAAAAGAGTTGATAATTGCAAACTGTTTACTTTTTAGAATCTACTATAAATTAGTCCTTTATCTACTTTCTTGATTTACGTGCAAACTGAGCTTGGGTATAAATTTTTGTAACTCGATTGCAAATCTGGCCTATACTTGAGTTTTTGCCTATCTCATAAAATAATTCTATATCTACTTTTTTTAATCTAGTTTTAACCAGAACAATGTTAAAATTTTTCACTTTTGTGTAAACCGGAACAATATCTATCTTTTACTGCTCTCGTTTAAAACGCATTTATATTTACCCTTTTTTTAAAATTTAAATACAAACTGGACCAAAGTCTACATTTTTTATTCTTAAATCATACCGAACCTATATCTAAATTTCGGACTCTGAAATCAAACTGAACCTATGTTTACCTTTTTGACTCTTAAATTAAACCGAATCTATGTATGTCTTTAATCAAACCAAACCTATGTCTAGCTTTTTGTCTCTTAAATCAAACCGAACCTATGTCTTCCTTTTTGATTTTTAAATTAAACCGAACCTATGTCAACCTTTTGAACTCTTCAATCATCCCATACTTATGTCTACCTTTTTGGCTCTTAAATGAAACCGAACCTATGTCTACCTATTTGGCACTTCAATGAAACCGAAATTATGTCTACCTTTTTGATTTTTAAATCAAACTGAAATATATCTAACTTTTTGACTCAAACCGAACCTATGTCTAACTTTTTGACTGTTCAATCAAACCGAACCTATATTTCGCTTTTTGACTCTTAAATCAAACCGAACCTATTACTAACTTTTTGTCTCTTAAATCAAAACGAACCTATGTCTACCATTTGAACTCTTAAATCATCCCATACTTCTGTCTAACTTTTTGTCTCTTAAATCAAATCGATTCTATGTCTAACTTTTTGACACTTATGTACACCAGATGCATGACGAACTTTTTCATTTTCATGGTAAACGGACCAATATCTACCTGTTCTTGTTTATTTTAAACGGAATTGTTTTTAACCATTTTTGACTTGATTGCAAATCGAACCTATCTTTACTTTTTTGACTCTTGTATATACTATGCCTTCGGGTGCATTTTTGATGATTTACCCTAATTTTTTTCTTGCGGGATATTTTTTTCTCCGCGCAAGTGATGATTTGTTTTTAAAATCCCTAACGTAACCTAACACACATCTTTAAATGTATCTTCTTCCACATGATAAATTAATATAAAATAAATTGAGAGATCTTAAGAGCGATATTTCGAAGGAAAGTTTCGAAATCCAATGCATGTGGTCATGAACTGATGTCCATCTTTGCAATTGAGTAGTTTATGGTTATTAAGTGCTATAAAATGAGTACAAGCAGAATTGCTTTGCAAGCTACTATGTATGAGTTCAATTCTCACTCTTTCTGCACAATGTCATATTATGCCTGCCATTGTAAATGTCTATGTAACATCACATTTATTCTTTCTTTCCTTCCAGAATATATCTGCTTCCTTCTCTCACACTGTCTCTCCCTCGCTGTCTGTCTGTCTGTCTCTCTATCTGTCTTCCTGTCTATCTATCTTCCTGTTTACTCACTTTTTCTATCGTTTTTATTCGTGGATTCTCTTACATTTTTTGGTAATTCCTTATTCATTTCCCTTTTGCTTTTCTGTATTATCTCGAAATAATTTAAGCAGGTGTTGTTTTTTCTTTCGATAATCGCAAAAAAATTATTCACTATTCATATATACGCTGGCTGCTAACACACACACTAAAAAGATAAATAGATAAATAAAAAATGGCGCTGGGGATGGATGTTGTCTGGGATGAGGACGTAATCGTTCTCTACCTTGTGCAGAAGCAACCAAAGGTCATGTCTCTCCACTTCCGGACTGGGCCTGCCAGCCAGAAAGACACTTTCTATAACAAGATTTTTTTTATACATTTGTTTAGTTTTTCACAATGAAAAGGTCAAACAGTTACATCATGTTATCATAGTCGAGTAGAATTTCATAAGTTAGTCCAGCGTCTGCAAATTAATGACCTATTTTTAAACTGATCACTCAGTCATTTTGGTTGTTTATTGTGTCTGTCTCTTGCGTGGTGTTTCTTTATTTCATCTTAATAATTATTGATTTATAAATGTTTTATATTTACTAAATATTCTTTGATGCGTTTTTTACATTGCTAATTTTGTTTTGTATTTGCAAAATCTTTCTTCATGCGATTGACGCATAAATCGTTTTGTAAAGGTTTGTATTTGCTAAATCAGTTTTGATAAATTTTGGTCATGGATAGATTTATAAATGTGTCTTTTTTACTAATAAGTTCTTGATTTTTTTGTTCATAGGTAGTTTTATAAATGTTTTATTTCTTTCTAATAATTTCTTGATGTTTTTGTTCCATAGATAGTTTTATAAATATTTCATTTTTACAAATAATATCTTGATTTTTTTGGTTCATGAATATTCTTATAAATGTTTATTTTTTCCTAATAATTGTTTTATAAATGTTGCATTTTTTAGTAATAATTTCATGATTTCTTTCATGATTAGTTTCATAACTGTTCCGTTTTCTACTAAAATTTCTTTTCGTCTTTTTTCGCGGTAAGTTTTATAATTGTTTCTTTTTTAGTAATAATTTCAAGATGCTTTTGCTTCAGAGATAGTTTTAGAAATGTTTCTTTTTTTTTTACTAATAATTTCTTGATGCTTTTGCTTCCGAGATAGTTTTAGAAATGTTTCTTTCTTTTACTAATAATTTCTTGATACTTTTGTTTCAGAGATAGTTTTAGAAATGTTTCTTTCTTTTACTAATAATTTCTTGATGCTTTTGCTTCAGAGATGTTTTTATAAATGTTTTGTTCTTTTCTAATAATTTTTTTGATGTTTTTGGTTCATGGATAGTTTTATAAATATTCCTTTTTTTTACTAATATTTTCTTGATTCTTTCTTTCATGAATATATTTATAAATGTTTCGTTTTTACTCAAAATGTTTTGCTGTGATTTGTTCATGAGTAGTTTTATAAATCATTTTTCCTAATAATTTCTTGCTGTTTTTGGCTAATGGTTAGTTTTAGAAATATTTTGTTTTTACTATATCTTTCATGTTGAATTTGTTATATGGATATTTTAGAAACGTTTTGCATTTATTAAATTATTTCTGATAAATTTCTATCCTTTTAAGATAAAATAATATCTATTTTATCTATTTATCTATAAATATTTTTATATATACTAAATTCTTTCAATAAATTTGTAATTCTGAGTAGAATATGATAGCCAGATATTAATACATTAAAAAGTTACGGTTAAAAAAAAACATTTACTCTTCCTCTAAATTAAATTAACCTGCTGAAGCTCAAAGAAAAGTTAAATTTTATTTACAACATTCAACGAATGAAAATTTTACTTTTACCTTATGATCGTATCATTGCCATCTTGCTATGTAAGTTCGAAATTACATTTAGTTTGGTCTATGTTTTTTTTTTGTTTTCTTTTGTTTTTTTTTACAGCATATCAACCTAAATGGTTTATTTAATGCCGACAATTTTCTTTTATTGCTGGTAATATTTTTTTTTTGTCAACAATCTATTTCTGGTAATATTCTTTCTTCAAAATTCTATTCCACGTAATAATTTTTCCTCAAAATTTCATAGCCAGTAATAATTTTTGCAAAGTATTTCTGGTATTAAAACCCACCCTACACCTTAACAGCGCCCCGACATCAGCTTTGAGGCCAACCACCGACCCATAGCTGAGACCCCAACAGGTGCCACCACCCTGGGCCAGGGCGCAACCGGGAACACCAGCAACCAAGAGACGGCTCCACGCTCCTCAAAAACCTCCTGGTCAGAGGCCCTGCTGTAAGGACGCAGTTCATCATCTCACCCAGGATACGGATGTAGTTTATCGTCATACCCAGGACGTTCGAAATTAGTGCGGATCTATACCTACATGGAGAAATTACGGAACGTCTATCAAGCATTTTTTTTTATCTGTCATTCATATATTTATGTAATATTTTCTTTGAACAGAATAAGAACACGAGACTATATCTGTTCCTCGTAAAATAATTGTTTATTCCACAACAAACTTCATTGATTTATATCAGTCAGTTGGTCTGTGGATTTGGAAGTTTTTTTCAAATGCGGATTCGTCTTCTTTTCCTGGGTATCTCAGAGACTATCCACCTCTTCTATCTAGGACGGATGTTGCTATAATAACATGTTATCGGATTTAGTCTTGCTGTGCATACATAGCTCGGACATTTTTTTATATCATGCAGACTCTCAGTGGCATCTTCTGAGGTGCGATTCTACGTGCTGGATGGGTCGTAATCTTTCATCTCAACTCGCTGGTGCCTCTAGCTTCTCTGATAGTCTCGTGTGACTCTTGAGAACCAAATTTATTTTAATATCATCTGGTGTGAGTCCAGTATACACTAGCGTCATCGCTGAACAACCTGACCCGAAACAAAGCTACCTCATTGACATTAAAACTAATTTAGATCTTCTGGTATTTCTTGACGTAATTCACATGCTAATGTAACAAATGTTGGTGAAATTTAATGAACCGTGCGTTTTGTAATTCATGAAAGACTTGACAGGATTAACGGTTTTTGTTTCAATATAGCAATCCTGGAAACCAATGCTTTTGTGTTTTGGAACAGAAATACAAAGTCGCATAAGAATAAGGAAATATATATTTCAGAAACTAATGTCTTCTGCGAGACAAGAATATTTGCTTAGAGATATAAACATTTCATGAATAAACAACCATAACAATGTCGGAATATTATGTAACATTTTTGTGGTAAATGTTTGACAATAACTGAAGAAGAAGAGATTTGAAACGATGGAAACTTGGTTCTTCTGATGAATTCTAAGAATACCATAAGCAAAACATATATACAAGTAGGAAGCCTTAAAGTCCATTTTACTAATATTCAGCCTATACAAGGCCTATGAACCACTCAAGATAAAGGGTTACTGACGAAGTTTGTTTCATGCGTCTTAAGAATAATAGGTAAGATGCTCATTTTATAAGGATATTTATGAGAGATAACGGTTAGCCCTAGACCTAAAGATGTTAAGATTGTAGTTGTCTGGAATGCATCTTCTCGGAAGACAATTCCGCAAAACAGCAGCTCGTGTGAAAAAGCACTTCGAGTGCAACTTGTTTCTTAATGAGGGATTACGAAGTGAATGAGGATGATGCGGCCCAATGGACGTGACATGGCGCCTCTGAGCTATGAAGGTTATAATTGGTGAAACTAAATATTATTGGTCATCAGAATATTTTCCAGGGAAATAGCGATAGAGTAGAGAGAGCCTTGCAACTTTTCGACTGTGGGAAAGAGGTTGTAGGGTGGAAATAATTCATTACCTCAAAAGGACGCATAGAAGATTTTGAAATCTATCAAGTCTAAGCAAGCGAATCAAAGGAAAGCAGCGAGCAACTTACTTAACCCTTCGATAATATAACATATGCAGATGATAGTTGATAGTAGACACAGAAAGGAAAACAGAAAAAAAAATTAGAGGCGATACTAATAGAAGGACCTGGAGATCGAGATTAACTAGGAATGAAGAAGAATGGTATTGCCCTAATAGAAATCGAACTCTGGGTCTCGTGAAAAAAGAAATGGACAATTCTAGTAACAGTGCCCCAGGTAACAACAACATAAAAGTTGACCAGAAGATCTCCCTACTAGGAACATCACATATATAAAGAAAGGTGCAATCAGTTAAAGGACAGTTCTCCTATAGTTTGGAACCGGGGTCTACAGGTACAATAGTGGAACCATTACATACACAAATAATAATAATAATAATAATAATAATAATAATAATAATGGTAATGATAATGATGATAATAATAATAGTAGTAATAATAATAATAATAATAATAATAATAATAATAATAATGGTAATGATAATGATGATAATAATAATAGGAATAATAATAATAACGGTAATGGTAATGGTGATAATAATAGTAGTAGTAGTAGTAATAATAATAATAATGGTAATGATAATGATGATGATAATAATAGTAATAATAATAATAATAATGGTAATGATAATGATGATAATAATAATAGTAGTAATAATAATAATAATAGTAATAATAATAATAATAATAATAATGGTAATGATAATGATGATAATAATAATAATAATAGTAGTAGTAGTAGTGGTAGTAGTAATAATAATAATAATAATAATAATAATAATAATAAACAAATTTAACCCAATGCTTCATAAAGTTTTCTTAAAATGTGCAGTTTTTTTTTTTATCTAATTTAGCTTGCTGCCTAATCTTAATATTAGCGATGCGTAAATTGAATTTTAAGTAAGCCCTTCTCTAGATAAAGACTGAACGTCATTGACTAATGGGTTAAACAGTATCATCCTCCTAACTTTGTAGGTGCGGAATCCGGTATGTGTCCCAAAAGTTTTAGCATGTAGTGCATATATCAAACCCCTGATCAAAAGATACAAAAGGGTTAAGAAAATAAAAAAAATTCTGTTACTTTAATCAAAATATATTTTTTTGGTTGGTCTTAAAGATAAGACCATGTGTGAAAAAAAAAAAAAAAAATTACTGGACAAACATTTTAGAACTAGTCAGTG